GGGGAGGGGAGCCCGCCCCGGGCAGCCCTGCCTTGTCTCCGCTCTTTCGGACTTCTCTCTAAGCCTCCTTTCTTGCCCTCCACTCTCTTTTTCTCCGCCTTCAGTAGCCGCGTCGCTGCTGGAAAAGTTTTGCTGTTGGGAAAGAGGGGCTGTGACAAATGACAGCCTGCCGTCGCGTGGGGGGACGCTTAAAAGTGTGGGCGCGACAACCCTCCGTTCGCGTAAACGGGGAGCGTCTCGATGCCCCGCTCTGGTATTTCATCAGCGGTTCCCCGTTAAGAAGGCAGAGCCAGCCCGGAGAGAGGTGCTCAGGCTTGTCCCCAGGCTGCCAGTGCCCCCAGCGCCTCTCTTCGCTCATCCCCAGCTGCTTGCTTTCCCCAAAGCGGGCTGCTCCCCTCCCACCAAGGCCATCGCCCCCCCTGGGCGCAGCCAGCAGATTTGGGGGCAAGAGCCGTGCCCAGAGGAGCCCCGGGCAGGAGCTGGGGGGCTGTGGCCTCCCCAGCCTCCTCCCGTGCCAGCGCTGGCACACGCGAGGCTGAAGGGGAGAAACCAGCCTCATCTCTGTGGTTGGTACTGAGTGCCCGGTTGCTGCACGGGTCCCCCGTCAGGTCCCTGGGCTCACGAGTGTCCATCGGGAGAGGAGCACAGCAAAGGTGCAGCCTTCCACTATGTTTCATTCCTGGCATCCACCAGCGAGCCGAAGGCTGCCTCCAGCACCGAAGCCACTCCAGCACAGCTCTGATGGTACCTGACCCCCACGGCCTCCGAGGGGCTGTTGGAGCTCCTTGGCTTTCTCGCTGTATCCCATTTCCCTGGCTGCGCTCGCTGTCGTCCCACAGGACAGCTGGCACCGGGTATCCGGCTGCCGTCCCGAGGTACCAGGGAGGCAGGAGCATCTCTGGGTGGTCAGGGGAAGGCTGCTGGCTGCTTTGGCCACCACGATGCTGCAAACCTGGTGTTGCTCAGGGACCCTGGTCTGTTACAGGTGCACTCCCATCACGGCTGCCTTTGGGCTGGAAGAGTTAGCAGGGCACAGCTCCAGTATGGCAAGATGAGCGCCACAGACATATTAAATTAAAGGAGCTGTTGAATAGGAAATTAAAGCAAGCCAGTGGGTGGTTATCACGAGTGAGATTTGACCTTTACAAAATGACCACAGTTCCTGCCTCACTTGAGGAAGGCATTTGCTGGTGGTGGAACCAAGCTACGTTTCCTTGCTGCAAAGCGGCCGTGTTGGTGGGTCTGCCAGACCTCTCCCTCAAAGCAGCGGGAGGGCAGAGCTGGGGCAGGGGAGCAGCTAAGAGGGGTCGGAGGCTGAGGAGCCCCCATGGGCTCCTTGTGCTGCTCTCTGGCTCCTTTGGTGCCCGCAGCTGCAACACTGGGTTGTGGGAGCTCGCTGACGGGCAGCAGATCCCACCTCTGCATCCTCCCCCAGTAGTGTCCTGTGAATGAAAGGGGTTTTTTTTATGCTGTGCTCAGCACAGTGTTTGACTGTGCTTCTGTCCTGTTACCCAATGCTTTATGTATCCCACTGCCAGCAATGCCAAACACCGTAATTCCTGTTTTCCTCTCCTAACGAAATCTCATGCTTCGGTTTCCTGACTGTGCTCCCCAGCTCAGCCTTCCCAGGTGAGCTGCTCTCTCCCCACCTCCCCATTTATCTGTAGGCCAGACTAACCCCGCTTCTTCTCGGACTTCATCGAGTTACCCTCTCCACCTCTTGAAATCTCAACTCAATGACCATACCCTGATATCTCCAGTCGTTACTGCTGTTTCTCTCTAACCCTTCTAATTGCTCCCCTCTTGCCTTTCCAGCCTTCCTCCGCCCCGCAGTTGACCCCAGCCCACAAACCCAACCATCTCCCTCCGCTGCTGCTGCTGCTGCTGCTCCCTGGGGGCTGCAGACCTGCTGGGATGGTTTGGGGAGGTGCAGTTTTGAACACCAAGTGCCTTTCTCTGCAGCATTGAGGTGCTTTCAAAACCGCCTTAAAAATGGCTCCAAACTGAGCGAGGCTTGGCAGGTCTGCAGCGATTTGAAAGCAATCGCGTTCAAATCTGGAGGGAGGAAGTTTGGCTAAAATTGCCCCCGAGTTACCTATTTCTGAGGACCTCAGCAGTACAATAACCTCTTTGAGGGATTCCAGGGCTGGATCCATGAAAACTCTCTTTCAGTGAATGAGAACCTGATGACATTCTCATTTCTGGGCTGAAAATTTTCAACTGATGCATTATGCACCAGGCTGAAAGAATCCTTCTTGAGGGAATAAAACTGCTCCTTGAGAAACCAGAGTGAAGGATTCCTGTTCTAGGAAGAGGTAAGGTGAACACTTCCAAATTCAATTCTCCAAATAAAGGATTGCAGCCAAGTAGAAGACACGAATAACCAACTGCCTAATGGGGAGCGTGCAGAATACTTGCTCTTATTTTATCTCCTAGGCACTCCTGCCCCTTGTGTTGTCTGTAAACTACATCTAATAGAGCAGGCAGAAATAGAAATCCAGTTTTTCATGGGCTTCTGTTGTAGAAGAGGGTTTTTTATTCTTCAGAAGTGAAATTTTGATTTTTCTTTTATTTTTTGCTACATGCAAAGTAACAGGATTCTACTGTTTCCTTTCTTCTTGAGGTCTCTGCCTTATTACTGGTAAGGGTTGTTGCATGTCCCTTCCATAAGGCAGCAGCCTGAAGGATGACATGGTCAGATGTTTGTCCTTATCAGGGCAGGAACAGGGTTCAGAAAGCCCCATTTCCATTCCTTTTTCCAGTATTAGACAATGCATCTTTCTTCTGAGCACATGGTTCAGCTGGGTGCAAGGGCTTTTCTGACCCTCAGGACGCACTTTCTTCGGGTTGAGTCGCCTGCAAGAGGCTGCAGCAGGTTAACGTCATGCTGGATCAGTTATCATCTGCTCTTCTGCCGCTGAGAAGAGCTTGTGTAGATGCTCACAAAAATTCCCTGTCACCATTAAAGTAATTGGTCTTGACTCTCATTTCAATGATGCCAAGTTGAAGATCATCTGAAGTTCACTTGACTTTTTTTCTTTGGCTGGCATTGCAGTAAAAGATGAGAAATTCCTCTCCGATCAGTTGTATTCCCCATGCTTAGTAGGCTGTGGCTGTTGCAAAATGTGGAGAAACTGTGGTTAGTAAAATCTCTGGCAAATCCCAGTTAGAAGTTCACTTTCGGTTATTGAGGCGCAGGTTATGAGTCCTCCACAAACATCTTCTAGGACCTTTTTCCACGTGCAGCCCAGGTGGTAAGGAAGATCTAGAGGCTTCCTCTTTGCAGGAACAAGGGAGGTACTTTTGTCGTTCTCCTGATGTTCTTCAGGGCTGCTGACACGCTGAAGGGATGAAATAGCCGCTTCTACGTCTGCGATAGTGAATGCTGATAAGAACAGTAGAACTGCCTTGTTCGGGGCTCAGTTAGAGGAAAAGCTCTGCAGACCCCCTGGGCTTGTGCTGGTCTCCAAAACCTGAGCTGTACCACACTGCTGCTTTGAGGTCTGAGGTTCTTCAAGTTACAGGGACCACCTTCAAATAAGCGTCCTATGGGAAACATCTCTTTCTTGATTTTTCATTATCTTTGGGAAACACCTGGGTTCCGTTACACCAGGCAGCAGAGGGACGCTCCGGGCACGGTGTAGGTGTTCTGGAGGCAGGTATGACGCTGAATATTTTGGCTTTTTGTGGAAGATCCGACAAATCACAGTCCAGGATGGAGGATGCAAATGCGTCTTGACAATACATTAGCATCCCAGATGCGAGGTTAGTGCATGATAATGTCTGATGTATGGCTTTTATCCTGCATCCCTGTCCTTTGCTTTTTGGGGATGAAAGCGGTTCCGCTCGCAGACATCGATACAAGCTGTCTTGCCTGTGCAGGAGGTCCCATTCACGTGCACCATATATTTCGGTCTCCTTGTGCTGGGTGCATATGCTGACTCTGCGTCATGTCTATCAGGTTATCTGCTTCCTTCATTCAGGGTCCTATCAAATCTTCCTTAGTCCGTGAAGCAGCAAGAAGTGCAGATAGACAAAAACTGTCAGGCATCTAAAATTTCAGTAGTGGGACCTGTCTGTAATTTTACATGTAATAAATGACCAGCCTGACCACAGTCATTGCTGGTATTGGGATGCTGATTCAGAAAAGCACTTCAGCACACGTGCTTGGCTGCTACTGTCTAGCAGAGTGTTTATGTCTCAAGTGACAAATTTATTCCTGTTTTGAAGAGGGAACTGGCAATAAAAGGAGAGCAGTATGATGGGTACCATGCGCATCAGAGGACAGATCCATCAGTTGGATTTCTGTCTTCATCGTATCTTATTTAGATAGAAGAATAGCTTGAAGGCATGTTGGGTTGTTAATGATATGTTGGAGAAAAGGGAAGCGTCATCACAAGGTATCAACCACGTGTAATTTATGTCTGAACCATTTTGGGTGATTATCATAAGATGGCTGAGGAGAACTCTGAATCTCTTAAAAAAAAATACACCTCTTAAACATTAAAGAAAATTAAAGATTATTCAAGTGATGGAGACTTATTTTCTTAAATCTTATATGAACCCATGATTTCTCCAGTAGGCCAAGTCCTCTGTACCTGCTTGGCTGCCTAAATGAATTCATAGTAATCCAGTATGTGAATTTGGCATAGTATGCTTAAAAGAAAAGTGAAAGAGCCATTTCCCATGCTTGTTTTTCATATGTTATTAACTTCATTTCCAAAACAGTGGTTCCCAGACTCCAGATCAAATGTGCTCTGACCCAGACTTGCATAGCTCTACTTACAGTAGCCGAAATGCACAGCCGTGTTAGGAGAGTGTTTCAGGCTGTACAGAGGACAAGCAGTTGTGCCCAGGTTGTCCTTTTAAAGTTGAGATTTGTTTTAGGTGTTTGCTCAAAAGTCGGAAGCAGCCTCGTTTCTCAGTTAAAGAACAAAATCATAACAAGCTTCAAGCCTTAAAGAAGGCAGGAAAAGTAAGTAAAAGCATTTAAACCTTATTAATGATGATACTATTGATGGTGTTATACTGTCACTTCAGTTTGTGTGCCTTTGTAGGCTGAGTCCCCTAGAATGGCTTTTACGGTCTAAGCATCAAGTCAAGACCTAGGCTGTTAAATGTCATCAAACCCCAGCAGGATTCGTTATGTGGAATAATTCATTATGTGGAATAATTCGTTATGTGGAGCTGCTGTATTGTCATGTTGCAGGCTTCTCTGCGACTTGGAGTTCAAGTGATCTGTATCAAATTTTAACGAGGATCAATTTTCCTATTACTGTGGTTTGCTATGCATGTGTTTGCAATCAGATTAGCAAAGATCCTCTCTGTATTAAGATGTGAAGTAGATTACAAAGTCTGAATTCATGCATATTTGAAGGTTTCTTAATCAGTGGGGCTCACAGATGTCTCCATCTGAAGAAAGTGCCCAAGCAGCAACCGCTCACTGTGGTTTTGTTCTTTGGAGCAGGGTGCCTGGAACGGCTTCAGTAATAGCTGGGCCATATTCCTTAATCGCAGTGACAATCAGGATCGTGTTACTTTTGGCTCTTTCTCCGCTTCTTTTTATTTAATTTAAACTGTGACATAAGAAAGATGTTTGCTCAAAACTGAGTTTTACCAACTTGTTTCCTTTTCCCAAACCTCTCACCCAAATCTGTGATCTAGGCGTTGTTATTTTGCACACTTACTACGCAAGTGGTTTTTATTCTGCTCTCCTTGTTAGTCGTCTGTTTTTTTTGTATAGCATCCCTCTGAAAAGCGATAATTAAAACAGCTTATTGGAAAAATCGGTTTGGATTTTTCCCCCTGTTCTTAAACAAAATTTAGTGGGAAGCCTTTGGATTGGAGCTCTGGATATTTCCTCTTTGGCAATCGTGCTAATCATCGCTGACAGATATTTCTTTCAAAAAGATTGTTTTGCATAGACAAAACTTGGCAGAGAGGTCGCCTCAGAAGAGAAGTGGAACAATAGGAAGTCAGTTGTTTATTTTTAAAAACAGCTTTTTTTTTTTTTCTGTCCACATTATGGCTGGAGGTCTAAGCAGTGGGCATCTCCTGATGGAGGGAGGTCTCTGCCCGTTAGACTGCTGGGGTAAGGGGATTTCGAGGTTGCTCACGCCCACCTAAGATCTTGCGAGTGGCTGGTGGCAGGGCTGGCCCAGACCCTTTTTCCCATCGCTTCCCCCGTAGATGAGAAGGGACCAGGCGGTATGAGCTTGACCAGGGAAAGGATCAGGGAGATACGAAGCCTTTCCCGAGACATCTTGTACAGCGGTGGAGGTCTCTGGTCCCCTCGGCAAGCCCACGCTACTCTCCATCAGTAGAAACTGCTCATCCCTAAATAAGCGTGAGTGCACCCGGAAAGATAAGCATCAAGGCAAGGTCAATACTTGCCTGGCCCAAGCCCTCGCAAGTAGGGAAATGAATCATGAAGTGACATATCGATACCTGTTTACTCCTCCTTTGCTCTTTGACAGACACTGTGCTCTGACTACAATTGCAGAGCACAACGTGCTGCGCACCACAGCCTTCACACAGGCACAGAAACGGGAGCCATTTCCATTAATAGCTGCTCTGCGCGCGTCTGAATTACTCTTGTTGCACAGCCAGCTGCTTCGTCAGATACCTGCAACCACTGGTTTGGGGTAGGACAAGTGACCTGGCGAAAGAATCCAGAATTAGGAAATGGGTTGAGGTTGTGGTGCATCATAATTTGGTAAAAATAAAATAAGCTGTGTACTTAGGAGTGGAAGGGAACATCTGGTGGAAAGCAGTTTAGTGCCGTGTTTGTTTGCAGGACCAGGTTTATATTGGACATATTGCGTGTTTACCAGCCCCCCTTGCATCGGTGTAAGTTTGAAGGACAGTTCCTCAGCTGATACACATGAGCATCGTACCCCCGAGTGGGGTCAGGGAAGGCTGCGAACCCCTTACCTGGCTCTGGTTTATGTTTAGCTGTAATTCCAGCGTGAACTGGACTTGGTTTGCTCAAACACCATGAAGTCATGACCGCTTCGGTCAGCTGTTGGTTTAGGAAGGGAGAGTGCACTTCAGGACTTCTTTTTCCTTGCCTGTTCCCTCCATGGATGTGAAGATGATAAACATTCAACCTGGTATTTCCCTTGCCTCCTCTGCTGATGCAAAGTTTTTCTGCCCCCAGTAACAATCTTGTTGGCATAGGGAATGTGCTTTGGAAGTGTGAAGGAACCATCCCTTTGGTCATAACTGAAGTACCTATTTTGGCAGGAATTGTAGCTTGCTGGGTCACGTGAAGCACCAAGGAGTTGCCTTGGACATGTGCAAAGCCAGCCAGCCTTGAAGGCAACCTGAGAAGTTGGCCAAGGCAACTGAACGAGCAGGGCAGCGAATCTGGAGAACTTTCTTTGCTGGCGTCTTGAATGCCCAGAGAGTGGTGAAACATCTCAGGCCAGTCTTAGGCACACGGAGAGGCAGAGCCACCTCACCATGGTTGGGGGCTGGGAGGATTTTGCAGATGAGAGCAGATGGGAGGATTATCAGGCTGTAGACCTGAGCGCTCTCTCTGCTGTTACCATGTCAGAAAGAATTGCAGGTTTAAAGCAAAGCACTGGCTAAATGAACAAGACAACAGAGGGTTGGCCCAGGACAGGAAGAATGAGAAGAAATGTGGTCATCCTTTCACTTAACCATTTACAAGACCAAGACCATTTTAATTCCTCTTTCACCCTGTCCTGGAATACAGGAAAGCACTTGATACAATGTAAAATGCATTTAAATTTGATGAAGATCTCTTTTTTTTTTTAACCATATGCTGTTGGTAGGGGACAGGATCTTTAATTACCACCTGGTAACAACACCTTTTTTAAAATTTGAGGGTAGCTCAGGTGAATAACGAATATAAAACACATAAGTAAGAATTAGCCTGGGTAACTTGACTTGTTTCAAGGCAGCATGGAGAAGGCTTACAGCTGCTGTGGAATTACCTGATAACTGAAGACCAAATTGGCTCTATGAAAACGCTGCGTTTGTTCTATAAGCTAAGATCTTGCGGTAGTTTGGAACTTTCTTTGGAAGAAAATGGGTGTGATTTTTACTAGCAACAGAATATTGGATGTAAAAGGGCATTTATTCAAGCTATTCTATTCTAGGCTATTTTCTATACCCTTTGCTCTTTATATTGGTAGGAATAATTACTCCTGAAGTCTCATTTTTTTTAAGTTAATTATTATGTGACTAAGGGAATTTGTTGTTTTTCAGATATACTCTTGCCCTGACTGTCATTTAGCTGGATCCCCATTTATGTAAAGGAAGTTTCATGTTGCTATGACAAGTATAAATATGCATTAAGATGGAGATTTTTTTTTTTTTCAAAAGGATGGCCAACTTAGAAGATTAACTAAGTAATAGTAGATCTCTTGTAAACAAGTATTATAAGTACATATTTACAGAACTTGTGATTAAATAATGGCCCCAGCCCTTAAAATTTAGTCCACACATCTAAACCCTTCACCTATGCCAAACATCATCAGTGTTCTGGGCTGTATTACAGGCAGATCCTTACAGCTTCAGCTGCAGGAGAGGAGCTTTTGTTACATGGTCTTGTATTAATTTGTTCTATATTGTGAAAGCAGTGCTGTATCCATGATAATGTAAGGATATAAGAAAGATGATGTTTGTATGATACCAGCTTCCAGAGTTGAAAAAGCTGTGTAAGCGTTTGGGCATGCAAACTTAAAAAACAGCTTTTTATTTGAAAGCTCATTTGTTTTGCCTTTTTATGTGTCATTCTAATAAAGTATACTGCCTCTCTCCCAAGTCTTGTTTCTCGTGCATTTATTTTTTCCTTAACTTGTACAACATTATGTGCATTAACGTACTTGTTTTTTGTGATTAAGTATATGTATAAATCCACTAAATTATGTGATTTAATAAACAATATGTTTGAAGTGATGCATTTTACCAATGTGGGACACATTCCACTTACTTAAGAATGTGTCTAAAAGCAGTTCTTTGGGCATAGTGCCTTTTTTTCCTTCTGTTCCTTATCTGTCCTTCAAAATAATCAGTATGTTTTTAAACTGAGGGGAAGGGGAAGGTCTGAAACATTTGTTTTGGCATTTGCTTCAATGATATGATTGTGGTTGGTTGGTTTGATTTCCTCAGTAACCAAAAAAACAAACCAAAAGTAATTTCCCCTTCATCATCTAATTAAATGCAAACAGTACGTGTACTTTTTGTAGATGCTCACAAGTTCATGCCATAAATTTCCATCCTTGTCCTAAATCTGCCAGCCTATGCACCAGTAGAAATGATATATTTAATCTGCTTCAGCATTTAACATGATGTGCAGGATTCAGGTGAAGTTCAGATAAGAAATTGTGTCAACTTCTAACAGGCTGGCCTGTAGAACATTGCAATCTCTTAATTAATTAAGTTATTAAGTTTTAATATACTAAATATTAGAGCAACAGAAAACATTGTAATGTTGGGTGTATTGAAATAATCCAATATTAAAAATACTAACACTTCTTCACATATTTTACGAATCCGTGCCAGATTTCCCTATGGATTCTAATAATGGCAACTGTAGAGGCGCCAGCATCGGTGAGTACACTTTTATAAAACTGTACAATAAGTTGTAATCTTTCAAATCCTTTTAATACTTGATTAAGTAAGAGGGGTACTAAGTGATGTTTAAATACACTGTCTTGTTGTGGAATCCTGTAGGTTGTGCTTTTGTATCCCATGGGCAGGTGGGATTTGGGGCTGGTCAGCCTGTGGACCTCTCAGCAGGCAACTCAATTAATTCTTTAGCGTGTCTTTTAGTGCTTCTCTCTTCTGCTTTTGTCAGGGCAAAATTTCCATCAAATCAAAAGGGCTGTGCTGATTTCATTAAAAGTTTTGTCTTGAACTGTGAGAATGATCATTAAATGGATTTCCACTGGGGAAAACCAGTGAAGATAATGGTTCATTCTGACTTAAAAGTTTGCAAATTAAATTCTGACCTCTTTGTAGATAACGGCAAAACTCCCATTAATCTGAGATGATCGAGGCTGAGACCTTCTGAGACTGCTTTTATTCCACCAGGTCCCCTGTTGCTTTTATTTTTGTTTTGGTTTGGTTTCTCTGGAACTGAGTAAAACCTCTTGAGTGTTACCACTAGTCATAGGCAATGCAAAGAAGCAAAGCCCAGATTGGTAGCTAATAGGTTACAGAAATGTGAATTTGTTCCTCAAGCCAACCAATGGCTATAGGTTTCCTTGAATTTTATTACCATTCCTTCAGAAGTTTTCCTCTTAGACCTTTGTCAAAAAGACGACACTTGGAAACCTAGTGTTGGCCATCGTGCCTTTCCTTCTCCAGAGGTGTTGACCAGCTACAACACGCACTGTTGCCCAGTTTATTATATAAATGCCTAAGGATGGTTGTGGAGCATAAAATTGGATACCAAGTTTTGATAACTTCAGCATTAATCTCTGTGACCGAATTGTCAAAAGGTGTTGGTAATGCCTAGCTTATAATGCAGTTTTAAAATGTGATCAGTAGGTCCCAATGTGAAAGTAGTTACGTAGGTGCAAAGTGTTATTTAAATCGTAGTGCACATCCTTCAGAAAGCCAGCTGCAATTAGAAAAACCTGATAAAAGTAAGCCCCTTAACAAGCTTCACTTTAAATTGCCTTGAGCGTGTCTGAAAGACGTTCTAAAGATTTTTATTGCTAATACTAGTATCTTTCTAGTTTTAAGCCATTTTCAATTGTGTGGCATTGAGAAAGTGTGGATTTCATGCTCTGCAGTGACTGTATAAAGAACATACAAGCTACACTTTGCATCTGAAAGTAAAGCTGGATACTTCAACATCACCTTATATCACAAATATTAAACATATCTTTAGCACTGCCTGCCCTCAGGGATGCAGACTGCATGTAATAGCAGTAAGCAACCCTGCAGTGGAGAAGAGTAAGATTCAGTTATACTGTTGCTGTCATGATGCTTTTCAACTAGCGAAAGCAAAATGAGACCTAAAAAAATCCCATCCAAAAAATAGGGTGAAGATGTGCAGAAAAAGAGCTGATGAAAAGGAAGGGTAATATTTTTGTCACTGCTTTTTGCTTTAGAAACACAATTTCTTGTTCAATGCACTACACCTCTTTCAACTGACAAACACAGTTTAGCCACCTAAAAGGCTGTGTTTCATAATTGCTTTATTTACATGTTCAGTGAAGTAAATTTGTAATTTTGCCATTGTAAACAGAATTTTTTTTTTTTTTTTTTGCGGGTGACAACCTGATGTGTTTTAGAAAATCCTGGACTCAGCTCTGTGGTTTCTGGAGCATATTGCATATGCTGCTGTGTACGGTTGCAGTGAGCAATACTCGTGTATTACCCCTCTTCGAGGCACCTTTTATCCCTGGCAGTGTCTACTGGCAAAACCTTCCCTCTGAGTCTGCAAGGGGGGCGGGGGAGAAGCTTTTTTTGCCTCTCTTGGCAGAAAACTACATTGTTGTCTGCTTCATCAGATGCTTTTCAAGTCGCTTAGAAGTTTTTCCAGATTTTTTTTTAATCCTTAATTTATCAGGGAAGCATTTGCCAGGTTTGAGTGCTTGTACTGATCACTATTACAGCCAGGTTTTGTGCATGCATGTATATTTAAGATGGCACATTTCTTGGTAGTGATCCATGCAGAAAACCCTTTTCCCATGTAGTCCATTTGTTTTGGCATTTATAGGGAGAAGTTTTCAAAGGTCTAGATGTTGAGCTTTTGTTAGTCCTATGTTGACTTGTATTAACAAAGAATATTTAACGGCAGTTACCTGAGATCTCAGTCAAAACTGGTGTGAGCCTCTGGTGCCTGTCTCGGTGTTCGGGATATAACGTTGTTGTGGTCCCAGAGCTCTTCTGGTAATTCTGGCAGCTTCAGAGGAAACTATCATGTAAGATGGGACTTTCCTTCAGCATCAAGAGATGCAGTACGTTTTTATAGCCATCTTTTGTGGGTGTTCCCGCTCCCTGGGGAAAGCTCAACTTTGCAAGAAACATGCATCGATCAAATGCGTGCTCCCTTTGAAAGTCGCTGTAACAGGAGCTGGGAGAGAGGAGCTGGTTCTAGCTCTGCGACTGACTTCATAGCTGACCTTGGCAAGTGACTCTGTGTTAGTTTCTGGATCTCTAAGGAGTAGTTAGAAATAATGCAGCGTTTTGTAAAGTTCTTTGAAATGTAAATTTGAAAAGCAGTAGGGCGACTTGGAGATATCCATCATTAAGAACATGAGCAAGTTTATAATTTGTTTCTAGAACAAGACTAATAAAATATATTCCTCAAATTAATAAAATAAAATAGTCCAACACTGTCTTAAAATTGAGGGAAATGTGAGGCTATGTATTCTTGTCTTGTAATTTAGATTATTTTATCCTACTTGTGCCACAGAGCAAAGTACGGTAGAGCAGGAGAACGTTAAAGTGTATGGCTTGTTGGATATGAACGCTGAGATGCCTGCGGGAGTGTTGGTCATAGGAGCACATCTTTTACGGCCTGTTTTGAGGCAGCTTATAAAATGGGCCATAATTTGGCCTAAAGTATGCATGAGCTCCCACAGGCAGAAGGGAAGCCAAAAATCACTTCCCTTCTCTGCCTTTATTATTTTAACACAGTCTCATACAAAAGCTGAAGTCTGTAGGACTCTATATATAGATGCCTGAGGATGTGTTTGAAATTCAAGGAAACAATATCCTCTTCTTTTGAGAAGTTCTCCTCTTTCCTGTATTTTTTTTGTATTTCCAACTACAAAAATTCTTTCAGTACAAAATAAATAAAGATTTGAGAAGTCCATAACCATACGATGCCAGCTCTCTTTTTTTTAAATGCAGAAATATTATATAGCAAATAAAAGTTCTTTTTCAAACTTTTCATATGGGATTTAACTGAGTCACTAACTATATGCATTGTTATTTTAGAACGATGGTGTATAGAAATAGGCTGCATTAAATCTACTTCCACTTAAATGCCAAGTCAAATGTCAAAATAGATGACCACTTATACGTAATACTGGGACCTTCTGTTTGCAATGGGTGCAGCAGTGGGCTTGGAGGGGGAGGTATCAGTCAGCTGAGCTTGACCATGCAACTCCACCAAACTCCACTTACACACTAGCTTGAAATAACTAAATATTTGCCTTAGAACAACCAGCCATGAAATATCGATGGTGTTAATGAACACATGGGTCTGGAGCTTCAGCCCCAGCACTCCCTGGGCACTAATGAAAGCGTTTTTACTTCTGTTGTGGTTCCCAGCTGTCTGGAAGCTGCGCCACTGGAAGTGCTGCTCTGACAGTGCTGATTTGTGTTGTCTTTTGAAGGCCATCCTTACCGCCATAAGGGCTAATAATTTCCCTATGTTAATTAAATGTGAAGTTCTGGGTCATAATTTTATACAGCAAGCCCCGACAGCAGGGTGGCTCTGTGGCCCGTGTTTGTTACTACCTGTGCCTGAATTCCACATGTGTGGCATGGGCTTAAATTATATTCAGGTCTGATGATCCACGGCATAGATTGATGAGGAGGGTTGGTGGTAGCCTTTTCAGGCAGCTCCGCTAACTGTATGTTTGAGATGCCTTTTCTGTTTTGTCTTGTCACAGAATTGGTAAGATCAAATGCAAATGTGCCAGTGGTTAATATTCTCCACATAGTGCTCTAAAATCTCCGTCTAGGTCAGTTCTGTGTAGAGCGTGAAGCCGTTGGGTCGACAAACCAACCAAGTCTGGTAAAGACTAATCTACAGTTCAGTCAAAGGCCATTTGCTCAAGGCTGGCTTTATTAATTGAGGGAGAGCGCAGAGCAGGATCAAAGGTAACACTAAACATTTGCGGTAGTCAAGTGAGGCCCTTCTTCAGGCTCTTAATGTTAAACTTAAACTTAATCTCTCTTAAACCTTCTGCTAGACACTGCTGAAGAAACATGGTTGGAGTTTTATTTTGTCGGGACCATCCCAGAAGCGTTCAGAGCAGGGAGCTACATGCCACTTGGTCCCACCACCCTCTGACATGGTTCATCTGTCGACTGCAGCTCTTAGACATCTTTAGGTGTAAAGGGGCTGTGCCACTGTAAAATCTTGCGGTGCAGTTCCAGAGACAGGCTGTGTGTTGAGAATTAGCCACAAAAATCATATTCCTTATGGTGAATGCCTGCTAGCCAGAATATCCCAGTGTGTTAAACTGAGCTGAGATGTGTAGTCTCCAATCAAATGTTAAACCATGCCCTGTTGTAGTATTTCCTTTCTGTGTCTGTATTACAGTCTGTATGATTAAAGGTGCAGAAAGGGGGGCATTCAGTAAGGGTAGTACAGAAGAGAGAACGGCATTGTAAGGATATGGAATCGCAGCACCTGTGAGCACAGAAGAAACCAAGACTGAACCTTGAACTGACTTAAAATGGAAGATCTTGTCACTTCAAACTCCAAGTCCTTGTATCTTTGTTGTTGTGGGTTTTTTTTTTTTGTATTTTTGTAGCATTTTTGTTTTGTTTTTTTAAATTTCAGCATGTCAAGTTTTCTCCTAGAAACCTTTGAGATCTCATGGACGGTTCCACAGCATCTTCCAGCACAGCAGACCAGGAATACCCTGTGGATTTTAATATTTCACTTGCCTGTAATAAACAAGTCAATTCAGTGCAATTGTCATTAGGCATGAGCTTGGGGTTTTGGGGAGATTGTCACTGAACATACGCTCTTTTCTTTCTGAACAAAAGTTTCTGTCTTCTAGAGCGCTGCAAATGCAAGCCTATAAAAGCTACCCAGAAGACCTATCTACGCAACAATTATAACTACGGTAAGGACAGCTGTGTGGCCAGCTCCTAGCATTTCTACGGCTAAAGTAAGGGGGAAAATTTTCATTAAAAAAGCCTACGGGCCCAATTACTGATGGTTAATACAATAGTACTTATTACAGAAGGAAGATGTGACCTGAAACATTTCCAAATTAGAAGGATGGAGGGGATTAGCTTAATATGTTAGTACAAGAGTGTCTTTGTTGAGGTTGAGTGTTATTTCAGTGTCGGCGCAGGCATCTGGGCTTCGTGCACTTGTTTAGTGTGAAAAGTGATGTGACAAAAATGATGTTGTGGGCTGCTATGCCTGAATTGCCTCTTTGATTTCCAGCTCCGATATGCTCTGCTTTCACAGGAAAGGATGTTTTTACTAACTTTCATGCCTACGAACTCACGTGGGATCCAATAGGCATACTAGGTTCTTTTCATGTATCGAAGCCAGCAGTGAGCATCTTGCTGGCTGTGTTATGCTGTCAGCAATACCTGTAAAAGTGCACGGTGTCCATATTATGTCCTCTCTTGTCCAGGTTGTCCTGGTCTTCAGGCATATCAGAGGTCCACGCTGCTACTTTTCTTCATAGTGTTTGTTTTAAGCAAATTAAGCTGATGAAGCCAGTGAATACATATCACAGGAACTGAACAATTGGACCCATTCTTCTTCCCATTACACGTGTGAATAGCCTTAGGCTCGCTGAACTTAGACTTCATTTAAATAATAGTAATTGTGTAACATTTATTAAGATGATGCATTTATACAGCTATTGTCAGATAAGCTGCTTTTAAAAATAAATCCTATTAAAAGCTGAAAAATTATAATTGTATTCAGTCAAACATCATTATTTTTAGGTGACTAGTTGGTTTTATGTTGTTTTGGTGGATTTGTTTGGGAAATCTTTACGAAGTGACTATTCTCTGGTGGGTGCCACACCTGCACGTGGTAGAGAGTTGCTGAGCGTGCTGCCTATCTTTTCAAGCTTTTGAAATCAAAGAGGTTTCAAAATGCATTTGAAAGAACTCCAAACTAAAGCAAGATTTTGTTTTGAAATCTTAAGAGGTTTTAAGGAAGTGGATCACTTGGGGTAAATAGCGTATGTTAAATGCATAACAGCTATTAATTATTAGCAGCTGTATTTAAGGTGGCTGCAATGCACACTGGCTGATTGTGGGCAATGCATGTGAAGAGAAAAGATGTATAAGTCCATGGTTTTCTTTCTTCCAGACTACCTTTTTCACACAGGTTAGCAGAAATTCGGAGTCCAGGGAATCTGCTGTCTGTAATGGAAAGGGGCTCTTGTTTGCGGGCTATGAAAGATGTGGCATTCTCTAGAGCATGACCTTTGGATTGGCTTTGCATTTGCATGTGGTATCAGTTCACTGGTCACCATGAGAGAAATGAAAAGCGTTGCCTTTGAAAGGCAGCTTTCCCTCCTGTGCAACTTCAGGCAAAAAGAATGGTTGAGGGAGGAAACAATTAGACAGGTCATCAGGTCAAGATCAGGAGCATTTGGAGTTCATAAAGAGCAGAGCAGATTGGTGCTGGGTCACTGGAGAGAGAATAAAAAAAAGTAAGGGCCTGTCATCCAACAGAGGTAGCGATAGGAGAAGTTTTAATGCACATTCATGTTTCATGAAAGGTTGAGAGTGGCAAATTAAGTTCAGTCATCTGTACTGCAAGTAGTCAAAGAGGGAGCAGTTATAGCTTGAGGGAGGAGGAGAGCATACAAGGAATGAATCAAACATATAAAGTGGAAAGGGTGAAGAAGAAGGGATGCTAAAAATTAAGCCTAACATAAATAGGATGCAAATCCAACTGGTACATAACTCCTGCTTGTAACCATACTATTACAAGATACACTGAGCTACCTGCAACTGTCTTGGTGGAGGGTGAAGTAATGAAGTGAAGAGATGGGGGCAGGGACATTGCTGGAGTTCAGCTAAGCTTTTGATAATGGACCATGCAAAAGACTAATCCCAGAGGTCACCAAGAAGGGCTTGGGGGTGACCTGCATTATCTGCTGCTGCTAACTATACTCTTTGTGACTTTTTCCCAGTCATTCGGGCTAAAGTGAAGGAGCTGAAGACTAAATGTCACGACGTCACTGCGGTGGTGGAAGTAAAGGAGATCCTAAAATCTTCGCTGGTGAACATCCCAAAGGACACTGTAAACCTTCACACGAACTCCGGCTGCCTGTGCCCACCGCTCAGTGCCAACGAAGAGTACATCATTATGGGCTACGAAGACGAGGAGCGCTCCCGGTAACTCTTTCTGCATTACCCTTGGAGCATATTTGTTGTTGTTTGTTCCCCTGCCCATAAAGCTGAACTTCAGAGCCACCAGCTAAGGAAAACTTGGTGTGACTCTCTGGTATGGCTCCTTAATGGTGTTCAGGGGGGACAAGGCTCTCTGCAGGCACAGAGATCTTACTCTGGCATGTGTTGGGTTGTTATAGCTTGTGCATGTCTGTTGATGGAGTAAATGGTTGTCTCTGTTGTGTAGGTTACTCTTGGTGGAAGGCTCCATAGCCGAGAAATGGAAGGATCGTCTTGGTAAAAAAGTAAAGGTAAGAAAATATCTCACCAAAAGTTAAGTGTTGTGGATACCGTGAAGCATCTACCTAATCTTTTCAAAATAAGGAAGGAAAATACATGTGCTGACCCCAGTTAATTAACATTAAAAATTAACTCGCTATGTTATTTGCTATATTACTTAAAAATTATGTTAAATAAACTGAAGGGATACATTGAATTACCCCAAAGTATACCAGTGTAGCAGCAATCAAAACCTCTGTCTCAAAAAAGCAAATAGTTGGAGTGTTTTAACTCCATAGGCAAACTGTGCATTCTGCAACACATACCTGCTTAATTGGGATTATGGTACTAATTAAAAAAAAAGAGGGCTTTACAAATGTTTTTCAGACTAAATCAGAATTATACTTTTCAGATTTAATGTCTTTAAATACAGTTCTCTTACCAAATTGTGTGGATTAATGACTATTTTAAATTTACCTTTCTGGTTTAGATGAGGGAGGTACCTGATAAGGAAGTCATGTCATAGCAAATTGGAAGCAATGAGCTCAAATGCAAGCAATATATGAAAATATATTCTCATGTTTTCTAATTTAAATGTATTCTAATGCTTCCAGGTTCTGGAAGGATTGCCTTTTTATGTTTTGATGCACCACAAAGTATCAGTGATTTCAGTGTTGTTACGAGTGTCATTTTACACAGGATATTCTTATTTTGACACAATTTCTCAGACGTTGATTTGACATAATGGTTGTGCCTGTGCAAACCAGTCTCCTCTTCCATTCAACACTTTCATCAACAGCCATAATGGTGACTGGCAGGAAAATACTGTTCTGATTACAAATGCAAGTTTTTCTGTGTACATTTGTCACATCCACAGAGATTACATGAGTGAAAAGATACGGGGATCTTATTCCAAATTGTTTGATTTGGCAGAACCTGATGAAATCCAGTGCCGTAGAGCAAATACCACGTTATTGCCGTGGGCTGGCTTCTGCTTAGTTCCAGTTCTGGGGTGGCAGTGTCATTTGTTGGCGTTTTTTTGGCAGCTGACTTATTTTCTCACTTACTTCCTTGCGGCCTGCGACCCACTGCGCTCTGCCCTCGCGTCTGGCCTGGGGCTGCTGAGGACCACGCCACATCGCCACCTGCTTCTCAGCGCAATGTCTTTCTCCAAAAGCATCATCAGTTGTACCAACTATATTTATTACGTCTTTGTGTACTGTGGTTGCTATTACCTGGAAAAGTAAAAATAAATAAATAGTAATAATTTTTAAAAAATTAATAAAAATCACTTGACACTTTTTTCATCCTGCTTCCCCCAGAGATTGCACAGATAGCTTCATTTACATTTCATCATTTAGAAAGTGAGACGCTTTTCTGCTGAAGCCATTATGCCTTGTATCAGCCCCTTCATTCACAAAGGCTACAAGAAAACCAGCAAATGGTTTTTCTTTTTAAAGTGACTTTTACTGATAACCTCACATTCCACCATTTGAGCCCAATGGAGGGTAACACGGTGGAAACAGCTATGGCTTTTATTTTTTTGCTGCTGTTTGTAAACACATGCGGTTGTTTTACATATGACTTATATCTTCTTCTGTAATCTCTTTTGTAATTTCTTTGCCTTTCAATATGCAGCGCTGGGATCAGAAACTCCGCCACCTCGGGAAGGGGAAGGGAGAGCCCGGACACAGCGACTCGGCTCCAAAGCCTGGCAAACCCAGCAGTGCCCGACAAGCACGTAGTTAGATGTGGGATGCCATACATTGACATGCAGTGGACTATCTACCAAGACTTCGTTGTTGGAGCAGCAAAGGAGAAATTGCACTATTGCACGTTATATTCTATTGTTTACTACAAAATAATGTTTTAGCTTATATTAGTTTTTATTCTCCCTCTTGTTTTCTGCCTTTTTTTTTTTCAGATGTGTGCAAGCTCTGGAAATATATATATATTTTTTTTTTCTGTTACTAAGAACTGTAGAGAACTGCTCTTATGAGATGGGGAAAGATAAGGACATGCTGAATTCACCATTTTATCTCCTGAATCTTCTTAGATCTGGCAAAGACCATCGCTTACTCACACTGGCTTCCCCCTTTCACTTTTTCTTGGTCACTGTTTGCTGAAACTTATTGTGTTGGGGGAAGGTTGTTATCTGTTTTTAAGTGCATAATTTTTTATTCTGAAATATAATTCTGAAATATATAAAGAAATGATGTTAAGAGAACTGTTTTAACCAGTACACCTTTGTTAAGTTTTCTTATAAATAAACCATTTGTGTAAGCCAAAGTCTAACTTAAAATATTTCCTGTGACAAACGTGGTCTGCTTGTACACAGGGGACTTGGGTTTTCCAGTGCTCTGGACCTTGCAGGAAAGGTTGTATAGTTCTGTTACCACAGGACGTAATTTATAATATACTTCTTCTCGTATAACGGCAGTTTTTTCCCCCTTTTCTTTCTCTTCTCTGCTGAGTCGTAGGAGTAGACTGACTTACCAGGCCTGCTTCTCAGTACAGGTCTGCACTTTATCCTTTTGATTTTGTGGTGTTATTCTTAAGTCTGTGCCTACATAAACAAGTGTTCAATGCTCAGTAAAATATGTCCAATAAAAGAATTGTAGTTGTCAACACAGACCTTATCTGACTTTTGAACCACTGTCATATTTTTTATGTTACCGTTCAAAATGTAAAAAGAAAAAAAAAGTTCATTTTTGTGCTTTTATAGAATTCTTTGCAGATAGTGCCAACATATTTGAAATTATCTTCTGTTTTCCTATTCTCTCATGCTCAAAAGAAATTGAAATGGAGTAAATAGAAGAACAGTCCTCTTCGCTGTAGTCTACAGAGGGGAACCCACTCTAGTTAAGATGCAAACGGCTGTTGTGTTCTCAGCTGTCAGTATTGTCTTAAGTGCATTAGGGCTGCCTAGCATTAAGAAAACAGTGATGCAGTTGTTAGGTATTTGGAAAATACATTGATAATAAGTAAACACAGAAATATTTGGGAATATTTATTGTAATGCTATTTTAAGATTTCAGTTCATAACCAGAGGTCTCAGGACAAGTTTTCCATTGGGCTGGATACCAAGCAAGTTGAAACACAGAACTGTTTCCTGCAACATTCAGAATATTTTTATTTTTTTTTTTTAATGAAAAATAAAGGGGTAATTTAGGGGAAAGGTTGGCTCTGAAGGCTAGCAGTGGAACATTAAGGCTCCAGCTAGTTCAGTGTTTGCTCAGGGTACTGCACAGCTGGGCTTAGAAGCAGTGGAAGGACTTTCAAAGAGGAAGCTGAATTAGAAGAGGAAGAATCATTTAAACAACAACAACAACGACAACAAAGCTATTCCCATTTGAAAACATTGCTCTGGTGTATATTGGACATTGTAGTTTGGTGCTTCCATTCTCATCTACTGTGGCACTTGGTTCCTGTGTTTTCCAGCCATGCTACCAGCGAGCAGGTCTCTGCCTATGGTGGTCATAGTAGGTATGGCAAGGTGAACATCATCACTGAAGCAGCAAGTCCTATGAAGCTCATTGTCAATCATATTTAATTATTGGGCTTTGGACTTTTCAATTTTTTTTAAGAAATCAGTGAATAGCAGGCAGTTAATGTGAGAAGGAAAATCTGCTGCACAAAAAGCCAAGAAAACCAAACTTCCAAGTAGTCTTGTTTACTACTGTCCTCCTGTCCCCATTCTCAGAGCCTCTGAAGAAAGCAAAGAAGTTTGTTATTTTACATCTTGCTTAATCAGGTCTCAGTTCGAGACTGGCCTAACCTCTCATGCAGTTTAGAATTAGAGTCTATGGTGTGAAAATGTTCTCTTTTTATTTTCCCCAAGTTGTGTTGAGCTTTGCCTTGTGCTTCCTCAAGCTGTTACCCCAGTCCTGCACTCAAAGGTCGGTGTCTGCTAACAGGTGGTGTTTTACTCAATTAAATTGTTTGTGAAGGTGCTGCTTCCCATCCAGCATTTACTTCATTCCTCTCTTAAAGGAAGACACTCTTGCTTCACCTTTCAATCCCCCTAGTTAGGGTCAAAGGAAAAATTATGCTTTCTGGGGACAAAGAAAGGGAAGGAAATACATCTGCTTCATTAATTGATGAGAACCGGTTTCTTTTCTTCTTCAAGTCCTTTATGTTTTATTTGCTAGGCTGAAGCTCTTGCCCATTCTTCATGTGATCAACAAGCTGATCACCAGAAAGTGAGGCAGCTGTTCTCATGTCATTAACCACTGCTGTTTAGCATTTTTCCAGTGAGGAGAGGAGGGTGTGGTGGCTTCCTCTGAAGGAGAGCAGAGGTGCTAGCGGTGGGTTTGTTCTCCTCTGCACCACGCCGGCCAGGAGGATTGGTTACCCACCTCTCTTCCCTTAGCTAAGGGAGCAGTTGAAGAGGTAAGGGGGAGCTTGTTGAGATGTGTTTGCATCTGTGAGAGCAAGGTCTTGGCAGCAATCACCTGAGAGCACCCTCAGATGGCTGAGCAGTAATGCTTATGGGTGAGGAGCATCTTGGTCTGGCTGGGGCTGTTAAATGGAGTGGTTTCCAATACAGCAAGCGGTGGAGTGGCTGGGAATCCATGTGAACTAATGGTGCGTTGAGCTGTCTCCTTTAGCTCTCTGGATCTGAGTTTGATATTGAGAATATCCGTATTGGAAGAGTATGGTCTGGAGGCAAACCTGCTTCTGCTCACTGCAGCTGTAACAGCATCTGAACTCAGGTGTCACCAGAGATGAAAAGCAGCTGTTTATTTTGTGTCCTGTGCTGGCCAGTGTGGTGTTAGTAAGTGACCCTGCAGTTCGTGCAGGGCTCTGTTACCACCACGTGCCTGGTTCTGTTACTTGCTTCAGGGAAAAAAGACCTCGGGTGGCTGTAGAGCAGCACAGCTGCACCAAAGCTTCTAGCATGTACTTTGATGGCGTGTCCCTTTTAAATGGCCATCCATGTGCTGGAGGGAAAGCTGGTTTCCCTCTGTTTCCCAAGCTTTTATCTAACAGTATAGAGACAGTATATGGCTTTTAATCTTCCCTTTTTACCTGCAGTGAAACTACTTGAGGGTCGTGCTCAATCTATTATGAAAAGCTTTGTGGCTATGGCGAGAGTGCTCTATTGATTATTTACTTATTTCACTTGCAAATGCGAAGACTTTCTTTTTTTCAGAACGAGTTTATTTGGAGGCAGCACTAAAATCCTATAAAAGGAGCACAAACAAAACCACGTGTGACAGCCAGCTTATTAGTTGTGTGCAACGTGGTTATTTTACTGGGTGATGCGCATACCTATGCATGCACATGTGACCAAGTGTCATGGGATGTATAGAAGGATTGATTAAAACCATGCCTTTCCCACATCTGGCTTATGTTAGACCAGAGAGAAAAATATGCAGCTTAAAATCTCTGTGGACAATTAGCCTGACATGTTACTTATCAGAAGGCACCCTTTCCTAGTGCAGCTCAGCAGATGAGAACGCAGGAGGAATAAACACCAAAGTTGCTTATTCACAAGCAATGTCTCTGGTTACTGGCAAGGGTTGACTCACGGTTTTAATAAACCTGCTCTGGACATGTTAGAAATGGCATGAAAATAACAGCTTAATTTCAGCCTGGGTATTGTTATTTCAGTGTAGAATTCCTTCCATTAAAGCTGATAATAAGCAGAGTCTATATGGTGAGAACAGTTTTCACATTAATGCTAATGAGAGTAGCATAGTTCAGTTGAACAGGGTTGCAGGGAGAGCCCACGCCAGTAGCAGTAAGCAGCCGGAGGGCCTCCTGCTTTCAGAAAGCCTTTGTTCGGAGAAAGGGGGAGATGTCAGCATTTTTAAAGGGAAGATATCAGACTATAGAATAGGACTCAACTGGAATCGGTTTCTTTTCTTTTTATAAGATTCTAGCACATTGAGCCTGAGATCAGTCGAGTGCAATATCGATGATGGGATGAAATATGTCAGCTCTGAGTTATACCCTGGACGAATCCAGTGTCTGCTGGGAAGACATAGGCTGTGAGGGTCCCAAGCTCTGGGGGGCTGCCAGTGCCATTTTCTGGTTCCCCTGCACGTTCTTGCTATTCTGTAAGATGCTAAAATCCATACGTTTAAAAGTTCGTATATTATAAATTAGGCAGCTAAGTCAATGAGATAGTAAGAATGAATGAACAAATGGACGTTATTTGCTGCGGAAGTAACACAGCTGGGGACGCTTAAATCCAGCTGTGTGGGAGAGATTTACTGGCTACTATTGTTTCCCCTCCCTCGCATGAAACAACCCAAACCCTGTACCAGCTGGTTATGTCTGCTCATGGCGCAGCCTGATAGCCTGCAGGGTGCGTGGAGTCGGGACCCCTGGCTTGCCTCCCCGCTCTCTGGCAGTGCTGCTGCGTAACTTAAAAAGTCCTTTCCTTCATCTATAGGACAGTACAATAGCTCTGTCCTGCAGGAGAGAGCTTACTAAGTTGTTCTGCCACTCTTGGAGGGGGGATTTTCATTCCCTCCATAGCATGGTACAGGTTATTTGATTATCATTCACTTTGGACAGTGCTGTTGGAGCACGGGTAGGTGCAAACTCTGATCGCCGCTGTCTTTCTGCACGTGAGCCACGGCTAGCGCGTTCTTTGCACTTCTGTGCTTTGCAAGCCTTCAGCAGTAAAATGAATGAACAGAGGAAGGAGAACAAAATGTAACCATCCCTGCAACACAGTTTCACTTTCCTGATGATAAACAGCTAAGCCCTATTCATAAGATGCATTCCTGAATGGTCACTGTATCACACTATTTAACAAGGATAACACCAAAAAGCAACGTGTCCAGAAAGCTGTCTGTAACCGCATCACCCGCAGCACCACTGACCAGGCACTGCTAGCACTGAGATCAGCAGCAAAACTTGTTGGGTTTGACCCTCCTTGTCAAAATGTTCTTGTTCTCTGTCTTTTGGGGAAAAAAAGCTTTGTTCCCTGTAGGGTTCTTGGGAGAGATGTATTTGCCCACCTCCCTGACCTATCACCCTGGGGATTGCACCCCCCTCCCCTGAGCACTGGGTTAATTAATGCCTGGTTCTTCCCACG